AAGGTGTTGCACGTGTGTCACCACGTGGTCTATTAAGAAGTTCATATTTCGTATAAAAGCACCCCCAATTAAGGGTGGTCCAGATGATCGTGACCTACCAGAACGGTACGCTCCATTTGATAAGAACGAGACAAATAGAATCAATTCAAATGTGATTTGCTGTTGTTATTTTTCTTTAACTTTCTTTTTATAAAGTAAAATCATTTCGCATTTTTTATTGTTTTATGAACCAGCTTATACGGTTATACCAAAATTGCTTATGATGACCCATGTTAATGTTTTCTTACAAGCCCAGTAGAGATGGCAATTGTCAAACCATATTTAAGAATAGACCATTAATTGCTAATGGAGAAATCTGAGTTGAGTTTGGTCTCTTTTTCTACCTGTTCCAGTTCCACTGTTTGTATGTGTGTTTTAGAAGTGTTATAGACGTTATTCTTGCCAATGTAACTTATGGCACTAACATGTAACATGACTCTAGGGCATAAAGTTTCAACGTAACTTAGGCCATCTCCATTAAGGGTTCACACCCACAAACTCTCACACATTCCCAAAAAATAAAATATTAAAATAATTGCAGACCTCACTTATATCTTGAACCTGTCTCGCAAAGGCTCTCTCTAATGAACATGGTTCATGACTATTTTGTGGGCTCCGTCATGTGGCGGTCCGCATTGGTCTGTTTATTACTCCCTCTCTTTCTAAATAAGTGTTATTTTAGCCTTTTAATTTTGTTTCAAAAAAAGTGTCATTCTACAATCCCAATGTAATTTTGTACATTAAATCTATTTTTTACCCTTTTGAATAACCAATAGTATTTTACTTAAATTATTTTCATTTAATTAAACATATATTAAATAGGGATATATTAGTCTATTATACAATTTTCTTAATTTATGTGTAAAGAGTCAAAATGACACTTATTTAAAAACAGAGGGAATATTATTTTGCAAAAAAAAATCAAACGAAAAACAAAGAAGTTGTAAACTCCTCATTTCCCAAGATTCACTGATGGAGCTGCTCTTATGGCAGTCTACCTCCAAATAAATAAATAACCTAACTGATTTGAATTTCTGACTTAGTGTTTATGCTTTGTGGATATTTAGGTTTTTGCAAAACAATAACCTAACTGGCCAAATACCTAGCAATCTTCTTCAAAAGCCAGGGCTTGAACTAAGGTAAGCATAAAACTCCAAGAGTGGTGTTCACCATACAAATCTAACTATGTCTCGTATTGAATTGGCTAATACAAAAACTCTCTAATGCTATACACTTCGGCACTTCTGGTAATCCCTTTTTGACTCAATCGCCACGTTGAATCAGCCTTTTGTGAAGAAGACTGACAATTATTTGAGTTTGTGTTATAGTTTTGTAGAGCTTGCGTTGCGTGTAAATTAGAAGCCTAACGTGTACAAACTACTTACCATATATCTTAATGTTTCATTCTTTAAAACACTTTGAGAGTGGGAGACAAGGGAATATCGATTGCATATGTTGTGTAATGAAAAAAAAATACATCATGAAAGAAAGATTCAACTTTTTCAAGTACGTTTCCTTACTAAGTTCTTTTTAAGCGCAAGTGGAAACAGAAGAGGCAACGAATCAGAGGCTTTAGAAGGAGTGCAAACAAGGGCGTGGCCGCGTGGATCGTCGGTGATGATTCCGTTTTTGGAACCGCTTTTGAAAACATATCTTCTACTTTCTCTCTACTTATATACTATGTTAACAGTCAGAATATATCTGTGAGCAAAACATGCTACAAACGTGTGGCTGATTGGTTTGTGTCTGTAAGGTTAAGAGAAGAATTCGAGCTAGTGATGGACTTTGTGAGAGTAATAGAAAATTGAGATGATAAGATAAATTAATGAGAGAAGGAGAGAGGTCTGGAAAACAGGTAACAGAGCGAAATCATAATTAATTAAGTCAATTGAGTTAAGATCATAATTAATTAAGTAATTTGAGTTTGGAATAGTGCTTTTTATATTAGGCAATTTGAATTTGGAATATTAAGTGCCATTTTAATTTTTTTAAATTTATTTTATTATTAGTGTCGTTTTTTATTTATAAGATAAATATTAAATGTTTTTTTTTTAGTTTTTACTCCTACTTTTAGTTCAATAACTCATGAAATCAAATAAAAAACCTTAACAACACTTATAATAAAACAGAGCGAGTACTAAACTAGGGAAGACATAACACAAGGAGACAAATCAAAGACATGTAATTAGAGTTGTGAGTTAAAAATATTGGATTAGTTTCCAACTTTTTTTTTCTTTGGATTAGTATTCAACTAGGAATTTTTCTGAGCCATACACAGAATAAAAAATTAATCTTAATATTATTTCATTTTAAAAGATTTATTATTTATCTTTAGACATTATTATTTTCTTGTTTCTTTTGATTTGGTTTATATTTCAATTTGATTTTATGTTAAAATCAGTAGAATTAAAATTACATTTTATAAGAATATTTTTATTATTTTTGTTAAAGTATATTTAATAATTGTTTATTTAAATATATGAATTTTTAAATATGTAATTTTAGAATAAATTTCGATTTTTGTTTGTTTAATCTAAAATACGTTAAAATGGTAAAAATAAATTTGCTATTTACACTAAATTTAATAAAGGTTCAATCATTTAATTATCGTCATTAAATCAATTTTTAGCACTGATATAACTTGGTATTAGTAAGACATACTTAAAATTAATTTTGATAAATCAATATTTATACAAAATGATATACATAAGTTGACGTAGATTTTTTATTTTTTTATTTTTATTTAGGTTAATTTTTTATTAGTGGTGTGTATATATATATATATATATATATATATATATAATTTAAATGATGATGTTCAAGTTATTAACTATATTTAAGTTTGAAATCTTGTCAATAATGAGTATGTATACAGCAAAATTATTTTAATAAATGAGTTATTAATCATTACCTTATTTAATAAATCTTTTAAACACATAATTTATTCTTATAAAAAATATATACATGTCACGAAAGTTTAAATAAAATCAAATCAAAACAGATATATGACTTACAATTAGTTTTGTTAAAATGTATTCCATTCATTTCATAAAGATGCATATTTATAAAAAAATTGTTTCAAAATGACATTTTTTGTATTATCAATGTATGTTTTATTAAATGATAATGATAATTGGAAACTTCAAAAATATTAATTGCACTTATTGAATTATTTTAGTTCAAATTTATGAGAATAGAGAATCACAAAAAAATATTTATGAGTAATATTTATATTTCGGTTAGTATATGTGAAAACTTAAAACATATATCATTTGAAACAGAGGGAGTACATATTTATATAAAAATATGATATATAAGTTGATGTATATTTTTTATATTTATAATTATATATATATATATATTATTTGGGTGATGATGTATGAGTTATTGAGTATATTACTTTATCTTAAAAACATGTTAAAAATATTAATATATAAAATTTACTTTAGTGAAAATATATGAGTTATTAGTCATTAACATATTTAAAAAATATTTCCAAAAAACTTAATTTTATAAAGAAAATTGTACCTATCACAATTAGAGTGAATGCCATGTCATATTTTAAAAATCCATATTATATTTTTATATTAAGAATGAATGTGGTCATGACACATAAGCAAATAACTTCACAATTAATGTTTAGGGGATTATTTCTTATTTTTTCAAGTAAAAAATCTGCAATATTTTTCTCCCATATTATCCAATCATAACTAAGAATTATCATCAGTTGAATAAAAATTTGTAACCATTTTGAACCGAATATTATCTTTTTTACTTGTCATCTTTTTTAGTTTTTTCATGTTTAGTGATCTGCACCCACATGGATATTAGTTTTTTTTTTAACTTTTTTTATAAATTAATATTTATTTTAATGATTATTTTTATATATTTTAGATGAATTGCCATATAACTAATAATATTGGTTATTTGAATATTGTGAGGTTCCTACTAATATCTTAACGGAGTCTTATTTAAATCCAAAAATCTGATATTTGAACGAAACGATCTGTGTCCAAATGGATACCTTAATACTCATGTCTAATTTATTTTGTAAACAGATAAAAATATATTTTTAATTGTTTTGAATTCTTGTTGTGAATGGAGCAATTTCATTCAAACTTGTCGATTGTTATGTTTAACATATAAATAAATTCTATCAGATTATTACGTTAAAGATAATTAATAAAATAGTTAAGAAATGTAATTGATGTAACAAAACAATTCAAAATAAGTAATTATTGTTTTGTATTTTCTAATAAATATTTTTGGATTATTACGAAAAGATAATAAATGAAATGGTTATAATTATTTAAAAAATACAATAAACGAACTGGTTAGAATTAATTAAAAAAAATATATGTAAACATACTTAAAAATAGACAAGTATTTTTTTGTATTTTAATTTTAATAGAATAGATAATTTGTTGTAAAATGAAAAATGTTCTCAATATCTTATCCAAAAATTTAATGATTATTGAAATTGGTAACCAATTATATAATAGTATTTTATTATTAATCGGTTGAATTAGTTTTATTTAACTATATATTTATATAATCAAAATAAATCATATAAAAATTTACATTTTATAATCAAGACAATTTTATAAAAACTTTATTTAATGATGTTTTTACATTGTGGATACAACAGAACCAAAAAATCTTTACAAGTGAAGAAAGATTCAGCAAAGCAAACCAGATATGTTTCAATCACAAAAAAGATCTGCCTAATAAGTTAGTTTCACTTAACAATAACATTTTATCAAAAAAAACAACAAAAAAAAAAAAGCTAAAACTTATTGCTGCCATAAATGACTAGATATTGTAATTAGTTATAACTTATAACAGCTCAATGTATTCAAACTCTTTAAATCTATCCATCCTTCTATAAATCTTTGCAAGAAGAAATACCCTATAAATTCTGTAAACATATACATTTTACATACAAAAGCAATCCAATTACTATGATCATGACCACACGACGAATTTGTTACATAGTTTCTGGAATAATTTCTCTTCTCTTTGTCACCTTCATGATCATTTTGATCCTTGCTCTAACTGCGTTCAAACCAAAACATCCGGTATTACAAACTGTGTCGTCCACTGTAGAAGCTGTATCCACAGATATATCACCACCACTTGATGTGCAACTAAATTTCACTCTTACACTTCAGTTGATGATTAGTAATCCTAATCTTGCCGATTTTGAATTCAATACAGTGGAAAACTTGGTCTATTACAGAAATGGTTTAGTGGGAAAACTCACTCTTCCTTCGAGTACACTCCCTGCCAAAGGCTCAACGCTTTTGTCATGTCCTCTTGTTCTTCAAATCGACAAGTTTGTTGCTAACATAAGTGATATCTTGCAGGATATATTGCAAAAGAAAATTGAGATAGAAACAAAGTCAAATATGCCAGGAAAAATTACAGTGTTGGGAATCTTTAAAGCACATCTGAATACATTTTCACATTGCAAACTCGTACTTAGCTTTCCTTCAATGAAAGTGGAGACGCAAGTGTGTGAGCTTAAAACTAAGCTATAAAAATTTAATGTTTGATCAGGTATAACATAGGTTTCATAGGGCAGATTAATCATACAAGTTGTATGCTTGGTTGTTGTATTGTATCGACATGAGTGCAAGTGATGATTATGATTAATATATGTTTGCCAATATGAAAAGAGAAAATAAATATTTGAAAGTAAAAATATATAGATTACGTATATGATAGAACAGTCAAATAGCAAAACATGAATAAAACATGAAACGTCGATTTTATTGACTAGGTGACGTTTTTTAGGTAAAATACATCCCCTTCTTACTATTTGAAGAACTTTTATAAATAAACCTTTATTTTATATATGATTAACAATTTTGGCATTTTCTCGATGTCAACACCACATTTCACTTCACAACTTTTTTTAAAATAACCCTCTTTGGCCTAGACTAATTACATACCATTGATAGATCAACCAACAAAGTTATTTTATTATATATTTCTATATATATATATATATATATATATATATGCATGTTGAAGACATAAATCATCCCGTAAATGTATCATCGTGACATAAGAACTAAATGAGTCAAAAACAGCTATGTTATTTTTATCAAAACATTAGAAGTTGTAGGTTTTAATTGTTCATATAGATCCAAATGACTTGAAAACAATTTTGTTATTTTTATATTCAAGTAACAATTTGTATGTAAATTTTCTTAGTACATATGTATTATATTATTCGAGTAACATATAGTTTGATATAGAAGTGTATTTTTATATTAACATGAACAACTATCTTATTTTCATATTCATGTTATTTATATAGAAGTTTTTTTTATTTACTTGTAAATAAAATATGCAAATAAGTGTATATCATATAAATAAGTGTATATAAAAAATTTTATTTTTATGATCATGTTATATATATAGCAGGGCATATAAATGTCAGCGACATATAAAGAATTGTATATTGTAATATATTTATGTTATATATAATTTTACATATAAACAATAATAAGTGTAACTGAAAATACTGCATTATTTATTCGAGTAACATATAGTAAACTATATGTATTATTTATTTGATATATAGTTTACTATAATAAAAATAAATCATAAGCATAAATTAGAGATTCATACAATTCACAACATAGTAAATTATATGTATTATTCATGTACTTACAATAATGGTCATCACCGCTATAAATAATAATAAACATAAATTTTGTCACTAAATTAAGTAGTCAAAAGGATTTTATTCCAAATTTAATGCTTAATCACAATTTTAAAATTGTTGGTGGAGATATAAAATTAAAGTGAATTCATTTTCTAACATAGAAGAACATTAAATAGGGTTAGTTACTAATCAATGTAATTTTGATTATTTTATATATGTTTCGATTGATTTCTTACTAATTAACATAAATACAATAACGTAAATGCAATTAAAATAAATGCGCTAATATTAATAAAAAATTCAAAACTCAATTCATACTAAATTTAATATATTAGAAATAATTAAATTTTAAATATGCTAAGTGTATATCAAATTTAATCTTTCATATGTTCCGATTATATACAAACTCCACAAGTATTATAATGAATGCCTAAAAGTAGCTGTTAATACAAAATCAAAACTCAAGTCATACTAAAATAACATATTAGAAATAATTAAAGATTAAATAGGTTAGGAAAAAGTTATACTTCTAGTTTTTGCCCGAAACATAGCCGGACCTCTACAATATTTTAGTAACCATAAAACATAATTTCACTAACTTTAAAATTTTATTTATTATATTAAGAATATTTTATATTGATTGCATAGTATTAACTCCATATATCTAAACATTAACTCTGCATATTTTTGTCTCATTAGTTTTTCGCAACTAAACTCGGAAACATGATCAATTAGAAATTATGTACAACTATATTATCAACTAGAAGATATGTAATTAACGCAAAATATACTATCAATTTATGGTGATTAATTTGTATCTGAAATGCTATATATATGGAGTCAATACTATGCCTACATCTCCATCACAACTAGAGATGGCAATTGGACTATCCTGTCCCATCCCGTTCCGCTGCGGGTTCGTCTTCTAGCGGGACGCGGCGGACTTGTCCCCTGTGGGATGTGGTCTTAAAAATAGCTGCCCAATCCTGTAACGCATTTTTTAGGCCTTCCTGCAGGACATGTGATACTACGCGCAGCAGAACAATTTAGGCCACTCCAAAACGCTTCAGACCGTTCTAGAACATAGTTCACGTCACTGATTCAACTGGACATAATTCATCAGTCATTGCTTTGCTTATTTTTTATTCAAAACAATAATTGTAATTATTTGTATCACACCCAAAACATATTAACATACAAAGTAAAGATAATTGCAGAAGATATTTTTCATTATCTTATAACTCATAAGTTCATAACCAATGTTTTAATTTGTTGAATCCCAAAATTAAATAAAATCAAACACCAAATCAAAAGTGTCAGTCCCAAATTAAATAAAAAGAGAAACCAAATCAAAACACTATTAAATCTCAAATCGTCATAACCGAAGCTGTAGTCGTCATCACCGGAGCTCGAATCATTATCACTGAAGCTCGAATTTATCATCATCGACCGAGCTCCTTACGTTTTCTCAGGGGAAGTCAAATGAATCGTCTTCATCCCACTCTTTCTCGCGTATTTTCAAGTAAAACAAAAAATAAAAAAATGTGGGTCCTAATAATCTCGCGAGAACCATTTCCGTCCATCCTGCAAAAGATCCAGTCCCGCAAAGACCCGTCCCGCGAGGCCCGCAGAAAACCTCATCCCAATACCGTCCTGCGACAATTCTTTACGAGCTAGGTCCGCGGTCTAGATCCATGATTGCCATCTCTAATCACAACCTAAGTGATTTAAAATGCAAGGCTCTATGATTTGAAACTAAAGAAATTCCTATGGAAGATTAACATGAAAGTCATTAGATTTTGGAAGTAATACTCGTCTGTTGGCGGAGAGACCATAGAAATGATTTTTATACTCAATGAGATTTGAAGAAATTATCACATTATTTGGTGTTTTATATTTTTTATGATCTATGTTGCTTTAATTATTATCATCATAATTTTCCTATGAATGCAATAATTCTATTACTATTTTTGTTTTTTTCTTAAATTCATAATAAATTTAAAAAAATTATTACTTACTTTTATAAATTTTTTTCATATAATATACTCACCTATCCAACTACACAGACTTTTTTTCATAAAAATCAATCCACAAAATAGTAAGATATTCATTATGTCTAATATTTGTGATATTTTACTTTCTAATATCTATATATATATTACGTAATAATTTGTTAATTAACTCACTTCGCACATGGCGCGGATTCACCTAGTGACGTTTTAAAGTTTATGTTTCATAACCTTAAGAGCTCATGCTCAAGGGAACAAATGTTTTTGTCATTAAACTATAACACAAATTTATAGAGATCACATGATCCATTATACCTATAACTATAACGCGTAAAAACCTTCATAAAAATTTGTACTAAGTATTTGCAAAGTACTGCATTTCTTATATAATTAAAGTTTAAAGCTTGCTACAAAAACATGCAACATTCACCCAACGACTAGACCAATAGTTCTTTTTTTATAACACTGTTCTAAACAAAAAAAGAAGAAGTTTATACAAAAACACAAATTACATGGGAGATGATGAGATGTCATTAGACACCAAAGAAAATGAAAGAGGTCTCACCTATTCCCCTTCTTTTTTGGCCTCCAAATCGAGTAAATGATGTAGCCATGGCGGAGAGCTTCGGGCGATGTAAGACTGATGACGGAGATCGCGAGTTACGCTTAATGCAATTGCCGCTGCAGCTTCATTACGTTCAGGAAGATCGTGATCCAAACTCCATGAATCTATCCTTACTAGAAGAAAGCATTGATTGGAACCTGATATGGTGAGTACCATCCTAACCTAAAATCCTAATAGAAACTTGTAAATTTTTGTTATCAAAATCTTCATTGTTATATATACTTCGTTGTTTTTATTTATTTATTGTTGTTTTAGGTCTTTGCACACAGATTAAAAAGTTTTTAATTTTACATATTTCAAAACAATAATAATATTATTTATAAAACTAACAACGTTTCCACCAGTAAAAAATTATAATAAAATTAAAATTAATAAATTTTGCATTAAAATTATAAAAGGATATTTATTTCAAAATGAAAATTTTAGTCAACAGTGACAACTAATTTAAAACAGAGGTAGTATGGAAAAATTAGGAGACATGAATTATACTGATAACTAGAAGATGTATATTTTTTATTTTTATAATTTTCATTAATTATAAAATTTTTGTTAATTATGAGACGATTTTACAGCTAACAATTTTATTGGTTACAAAGATATACATTCAAATACATTAGAATCTTCAAAACTTTTTTTAAAAATTTAATTTGCATAGTTTATCAGGATTTTCTTTTGAATTCTATACTTCATAATGTATAAACATTAGTAATAAATTGTTTGTTTCTCTCAAATTATAAATACTTTATTGTGTTTTATGAAATTTATTAGGAGTTTTTATGATTGACGAAATCAACTGATAGTGACATCAACAGAGTTAGAAAAGCGTGCCGTAGTCAAATTTTATCGGATCATTCTCTCTCTCTTTCCTTTTTCAGATTCCGAATCGGGAAAATGGATACTTCCTCCGCCGCACGCCGCCGCATAAACGCTATCCACTCCCATCTCGTCACGTCTTCTCGCTCTTCTCCTCTTCTCTGCTCCAATCCCACCGCCGGCGAGTTCTTTCTTGGTCAGTACTTCTCATCATCTCTTCCTCTCTTTAGCTTCAGCTTCAGCTTCTGATTCTTTTAATCATAACCAGATAATGGATATAGCGTTGTGCTCCCCGAGAAACTAAGCACTGGCAAGTGGAACGTCTACAGGTTATATATCTATGATCATTGTCTTCTTTGTTTTTTTTCTCTTGCTTCAACGTTTTTTTTAAACTTTTGTGTTTGATTTTTGAATTTG